GGCCTTCTTCAGGTCGTTGGGATTTCGAACTGAACCCTTTATTTCGATCACTGGGGTAGACTGTTCTAGTTCCACGTGCCATGTTTGATGGATGTCAGTTATCAGTTATCTCCTGCTAATTTTCCCTCTGAAAGTTCTCCACTGCCTTAACCAGGTATTGAACTCACCTTCTTTGGGTCTGTCACTGGATCTAACCAACGCCTTCATTCACTGTGTCATGTGTCCTCAAGGACACATTAGCAGGAGATAACTGATAACTGACATCCATCAAACATGGCACGTGGAACTAGAACAGTCTACCCCTGTGATCGAAATAAAGGGTTCAGTTTGAAATTCCAACCACCTGAAGAAGGCTGGAGCATACAACAGTCGAAACGTTGTGACAAATATGGCGACAAAGATGAGGGCAATAGTCCGACTAATGTAAATACAGATCAGTGATTCCCAAACAGCATGCCGCCACACACTAGTGTGCCTCAAAATATTGTCATGACATCATAGTGTGTAGTTTGGAAGATGGAGAAATTATAGCTGACGGAAGGTATACAAGTCAATACCCAATCAGTATCGGCTGGGTCACTGTGGAGAGGGGGTATGATGTTGAAAGACCTGAAACACCTAATGAACCTCGGCTAGAAACCTCACTGATGACATGTACTAAAGCATCCAATAGGAAGTAGTAATGGTACAGCATTAGTATTTACACTATTTACATTATTCGGACTATTATCCTCATCTTTGTCACCACGTATATCACAACGTTTCGGCCATTGTATGCTCTGGCCTTCTTCAGGTGGCTGGAATGTCGAATTGAATCCTTTATTTCACTCACTGGGGTAGACTGTTCTAATTCCACATACCATGTGTAATGGATATCAGTTATCTCCTGTTAATTCCCCTCTGAAACGTTGTGATAAATATGGCAACAGAGATGAGGACAATAGTCCGAATAGTGTAAATAGTGTACATAATACCTCATCTCAGAAATATAGACAGATACTAGCATTAGTATTTGCTGAATAAGTGAATAAGTATTAAACATTTTTAAAAAAATAATTCTTTTCACTATTCTTTGATTATGTTATTTTAAAAATACTTTCATTTTTATAAAGTACTTTTATTGTAACTTTTTAAAATATTCCTTTATTTAGATAAATGAATATTAACCTTTTTTCCCCATATAATTGTATTCAACATTCTTTGTTTAATGGAGCTGGGTTCCATTTCCATTTTATGTTTGTTATATGCAAATACCCTTGGGAAAGGTATGAATCCATCTCTTCTCACCCCAGCTATAGGTTAATTAGTAAGAATTGTATCACTAAAATCTTTATTATTCCACCCCCAAAAATATATTTTTGATAAGTTGCAAAAAAATGTATCAGTAAGGTAAGTTTTTTTTTTTTTTTTTTTAATCGACGAGGCAGAATTTTGAAATCTTTGAATTTGGGACCAGATTTTCTAATTGCATTTTTTGAAGAAAAATTTAAATTGTGTTCTCACAAATTTTCCTCAAATTTTACCTTTTTAGATCAAAAGAGGAATGGTTTTTTATTGGTGAGTAGATGTTTTACCTGTAATCAGATGAACTTAGTTTTTGTTTTCTTTTTTTTACTATTAACATTGCAAATTTTTATCTATGATGAAATTATAAAAATGATAAAAAAAAAAAATTGTTGTGCTTAAATGAATTAAGCTTACATTAAATCCATATAACTCTGGAGTTTGTTAAAAATCTAAATCAATTTTAGTATTTGTGTTATGTTTCAAAATTATATAAAACTATTGGTGACATTTTTTTTTTTTTTTTTTTTTCACCCAAAACAATGCAATAAAGCCACTGTGACTCAAGAGGTTACTGAGTGCTAGTGGATATGAGAAAAATTAGTATTAATGAGAGATGACAATAAAAGAACACGCATTAAGAAGACAGAAGATAACAATTAACAGTGCATTTAAATTTTTGAATATCAAACTAAACTGGGAAGCAATAAGCTGGAAGAGAGTTCTACAAAGAAGTAATGCAATAGAAGAAGCTATTAGCATAGAACTTATGGTTTCATCTAGCCTTTTTATAAAATGAGGAGACCTTGCCGCCATTCTAGTACTGCACTTAAATTCATATCATTGGGGAAAGTTCACCAGAACAATTACCATGAAAGTATTTATAGAAAAGGCACAGGGAAGCTATGTTATGGCAGTGGGAAAGGGACTGAAACCAATGTGCCAGGTCAGGATCAATAATATTGCAGATTCTTCTTTGGATTTTATCAAGAATCTCTAAATATATAGCAGGCACACCAGACCAGATGCAACAGCAATATAAAAAGCAAGGAAAAATGGTAGACTTATAAAATATGTATGATAGATTCTGGTGAGAAAAACTGTCAAGCACTGCATAATGAACCAACTTTTTTAGAGGTAGAACAGAATTAACTCTTGAAAGCAAAGTTGAAGGGTGAGAAATATTGAGTCAGCCATTGCATGCTGGTGTGTGAAAGCAAATATGAAGTACAGTATATTTCCGCATATAAGACAACCTTTAACCCCCCCCCCATGAATCATCTACTACAATTCTATGAAAGGAAACCTTAAATTCTGAGTGACGTTTTTTTGTAGGCTAACTTCAGCCTTGGTGCAATAACCAATAATGTACATGAAAAGATTCACATTATCAAATACACTGATAATAAAATTAATAAAACAATTTCTGCTTGATATATTACTGGCATAACTAAATAATAAATTGTATATTCAAAGAATAATTCCATATCAATGAAATCAACTTGTATCTATGTAAGCTCAGCTGAGAAAATATAAACATTAAGTTATGATTGCTTTCACAGCAATAGAATGTACTTATACATTATTGTACTGTTATTAGCAATATTTTGTGATTGTCAATGAAGTATAAGTAAATGGCCATTAGTACACTAGGCTGTTTGTAACTATTTAGATATAGGAAAAGAAGAGGAAACAAAATGTAAACAAAACAATGGTTTCCCTTTTAGGGGATGTGTGGGAAAAACATGATATAGAATCAATTCTGCTATTTCATTTATTTTGAATTTCTAAGGATATAGTAACAACATTTTCAATAACATCATTTTTATATAATCAATAAGCAGTTGTCTTATACTACAGGTATAGGATAAATTCATTAAAATTTTCTATATTTTTTTTACCTTGTCTTATCTAAAGGTCGTGGAAATATACAGTATTTTTTTCTTATTTCAGTATTTTCTGGGGAAAAAATAGGTTAAAGAGACCCACTTACTAGAAGGATTCTTTTTTTCTGCTTTTTTTTATTATTGCAATTTCTACTTAACTATCAAGTTTGAACTACCTAGAGAAGTTTATAATTAAATACTTTGCAATCATAAACATTTTTCCTCTCTAATCTAGCATACCTCCAGCTATGGTTTAAATAAGCAGGGGGCAGTCATAACAGCAATTTTCACTTCATTGAAAAATCAAAATTAAGGGGAGATAACTTTAATATCTAAATAATGCTTTTTTAAATTAGATATTTAAAAATTACACCTGTTAATTTAATTGCTGTTTATTTATGTTAATGAATACCTTTTTCTGCATGAATTTATCACTGAAATCTTTCATATAATAATTTTGCTTAATATTTTTTTTATTCTACAAATATTTAAAACCTACTGAAGAATAGCAAAACACAAACCATTTACATATTTGGCTGATCCAAAATACATGTGTAAATAAATATTTTAAAATCTTCTGTCTTAATTCATATTACTCTTATTTATTTAATATTTATATTTTAATGATTTATTTATTATATATATGATAAAAAATATAGCTTTACGATATGCTATATTTATGAGTTAAAATGTCAGGCATAGTGGATGTAAATATAAAAGTAGACACATTGTGGTCAACACCCAGCAGCAACAGTCTCTTTCATGCTTAAATGCAATTGTCAGGCCATGCACCTGATGATTGCAGTGAAGCATGAAACAGGGTGCTGACATCAATGTTCACTATATATAGGTTTATATTCACTAATGTAACGGTGAATGGAGTAATTCCTCCAGAGTCTGTCTACAAAACACTGGAGTTGGAATGCTGAAGGTAACATCACTCGGCTAAGTGATAAAACTTTTACTTGTATTAATTTTTTGAGATAGAGATATATATATCTCCTAGAGAGCTAGGAACAACTTACCTACCTTTGGACTAAAAAAATTAGGGGACTGGACAATTTGTTTCACCCTCTTCAGATGTTTCTTGTTTTTTTTCCCAATTTTTTCTTCAGGTACCAATTTATTTTGATATACTTGAAAGTTGTGTTATCCAAGTTTTTTTACTAACCAAGTATTACTATTAGTATAAATAATATATATATATATATATATATATATATATATATATATACAGCTTCTTAATTGTGTTTTCAAATTGATTTTGTGCAAAAACAATTCTGTTTTTCCACTTTTTGGTGCTGTCAGAACCACCGCAAGGTAATTTTACGTAGTCCTGTGAAGTTTTGTTGAAATCAGTTGAAAAATATGGGAAATCCGATCCAATATATAAACGAACACACACACACACACACAACCTGGGTTTTATAATAAGTATGAGTTTTGGTTCAATATTAAATAATCAGTTGGCAGGTAATGTAAAATATAAAATTTAATTTTTTTTTTTTTTTTTTTTTTATGATATGGAGTGTTTAATCTCTGGTGATATGAAAAATAATTTAAAAAAAAAAAAGATTCTTTCTGAATTCCATTAAATCTGCAATCTGTACAGAAGTATTGGGCTTAATGCATTGACTAAAAGATTGTACTGAAAAATAAAAGCTTTACTTTTCATCATAAAGTTATGGATTTATTGGCAAGCTTAATCTTTTAAAATTGTATGTCGTTGATTTTTTTTTTTTTTTCTGGTATTATTAAACTAATTAACTTTGATTTTATAATTACATTTTTTTCTCTTCTTTTTATTTTCGTTATAGTGTTTTCTAAATGATGGCCAATAATCTACCATCAGGAAGCAATACTGGCAAGATGTACAAAAAGCCGATAAAGAAGAACGTAGGTCTTCGTGCTTTCTTTCCAGAGATGCCCAGTAGCATGAGCAACCTTGAAAAGGCCAAAATCTGGGTGAAAAGACACAATAATAATTATTTTATGGGTTGGACACAGGAGCAGCTGCAGAACTTAGACCCTATAGTCCGACCCTTGACTATAATTACTCCCGAACTGTACAAGCGGCATATGAACAGGTTGGTTCCAAAAATAATGTCTGTCTGTTTTTCTTTTCTTTTTTTTTTTTTTTTTTTTTTTTTTTGTTGTCGGGGAAAGATGGGGAACTTTTTTATGTATATACTTTTTTTTAAAAAAACAAAAATGAAAAAAAAAAACAGCTGATTTCTTTTATTTTTGAGTTGATTTCTTTTTAGATTGTTTATTTGTTTTTTGTTTTTCCTTTTTTATTTTTATTCTTCAATTATGTTCTTTTTAAACCTATTTTAGAAATGAATGCAAAAATATAAACTGGGTTTTGCTCATTAAAATAATTCTAACAAAATAGAGGTAATTTTAAGTTTTTAAGTAAATTTTATTTCATTATCATGTTAATTAAAAATCAAATGAGAAATTTGCATAATTAACTATATTGCTTTTTCACAATTATTTATTACTATTCAATAATAACTTTGCTTATCCATCATATTTATTGATTATTTTAAACATCATCTCTTGCTCTATAGTTCTCTCTCTCTCTCTCTCTTTCTCTCTTACATATATATATATATATATATATATATATATATATATATATAGTGTGTGTGTTTCATTAAATAGAGCTGACAAAGTACTATGCTTAATTTTTTTAATTAATTTTCCTTGAGTTTTTATAATTTTCCTCTTTTCTGGAAATAAATTATGTAAAAATTATCCAAATGTTTCATATGTACAAAGTCCTTTCAGCTATACTTTTAGCCATTAACATGGATAATTTTAGTTTTACTTTTAACTGAATGTATGGATTGTTTTATGTGTGTATTAAGATTTATAAGAATGTTTTAGTTTCTAAGCACGGTCATCACGTTGTGGCTGTGTTTATAGTTGATATTTGGCTTCCATTACTTTTAGTCATTTTTTACATTTGAATGAGGCTACAGAGGAACCTCAGTTCTTGAACGTCTCACCTGTCAAACAAATTGGTTTTCGAACAGAAAATTTGAGATGAAAATGCTTTGGCTATCAAACAAAATTTTGGTTCTCAAACAACATAGCTGAACCAAGTTAACATGAATGGAATGATTTCTGAGCTGACCGCTGTGTTGTATACATTTGTGTGTTGTTCCGTGTTTTTTTTTTTTTCCAATTTTGTTTTACTGTGACTTTTTTCTCTACATTGATTCCTCTTGGACAAATAGCTTTGAGTTACGAACAGCCTTGAGGAACAAATTAAATTTGTGAACTTATGTTTCACTGTATTTGGATTATCAAACAGATATGTTGTGGATAGTTTCGTAGTCTCTGTGTATTTAAATGAGACCCAATTGAGCTATTGTCACATAGATGTAATGTGAGTCTTCTTGTTAGGCATGTTTTTGTATATCCAATATAATTATTTATGAATTTGAATTGATCCAGAACATGGCTCCTTAAGGGACATGTGAATTTGTAAATAATATCAACACAGCCACTATTTGCTGACCCTGTTTGGAAAATAAAACATTCCTATAACTGTAGATACATACATTCAGTTAAAAGTAGAAATAAGATCATCTTTGATAATTGCTAATATAAACAAAAGTGCTGAGACACATAAAAAATTTGAACAATTTCTATATAATTTACATCCAGAAAAGAAAAAAATATAAGAACGCATGAAAAATTAAATAAAAAAAACTAACTGCAGTATCTTGTCAGTCGTTTTGAATGAAACATATATTTTAGTGGGTACCCATATTTGATTTATTTATTTTCTTTTACCAGCTTGAATATTCAAGAAATTTTATTGAAGAAAAATATGCACTCTTCAGCAGGATACAAAGTGTGTCCCCCTCTGCAAGGGAAACCATCGTACACATGCTTTAGACTATCTTGGCCACAAAGTGCAATGATGATCAAGCAAAGTTAAATAGTACTTTATAGTGCATATTTTCTTTAATAAGATTTCTCGAATATTCAGGCCAACAGACAAAAATAAATCTACTCAAAACAAAGATCATTTATGTAATAAAACCTGTTGGATTAATAGATAAAAATCCATCCCATCATATATATATGTCAAAATTCCTACATAGGAATGAATGAAAGGATCGCATTTTAGTATGCACAAATAGTTACAATTCTTTTAATCATGCAGAAGTTATGCCAGAATGCTAAGTCAAGTAATGATAGCACTCAGCTGTGGTAGAGAAAGTCTGAGGCTATGGAGGCCCGAAACTTTCTATGACCCAAGGGTAGACCTCACTGAGGAAGCATTCTGATGTGCATTATATGTGTATAAAACAAACAAATGTATAGGCTTAATACAAATAAAATTTGTCACTAAGCTGATTAATGTTATATTCAGCACCTTTACTCTAAAGTTCTGTAGACAAACCTTTTTGTAATTGTTCAGTCTATTCATCAGGAGGCTTGTAGATTCAGCTTCACTAATACTTGGCATATAGTTATTTGCTTCCATTGATGATTTTGTTAGTACATATACTGGCCACATGCTGTGTATCATCTTGGGTTGACTGATACGGAATAACTGATTTTAATAACTAAGGCAATTGCTTACTGCCTGAAACTTCTAGTTGTGGTCAACTGTCATATCAACCCCATTTTTTTTTTTATTTTTTTTTTTTTTTTTTTAAATAATATAAGTAACTCCTAAGCTAGTCTGCTAGAAAGGCACCCTGGAGAAAGACAGCTCATTATCATATTAACTATCAGAGACTTAATATTCTTTAAATTCCCAGTGAGCAGTAGCCGACAACAACTAAGTTTCATGCATGAGAACACCTGAAACTTTTAGTTGTGTTCAGCCACTGTTCACCAGGAATTTATTTAAAGAAAAATGTTTATATGAAAAGACTTCTTTTTCACAAACACAGATCTGTTTATCAGGGTTGGATAAATAGTCAATTTATTCTGACATATCACACTTATTTTAAATTATGTTGTATAAAAACAAAATGTTAATTATTGACATCAACTAAATTTTAAATTTGTTCTATCTTAAAGACATTATAATGTGACAATATTTAATCTGAAATTGTTCAGTTACATATTGGATAATTTAACTTTTTATAAAAAGCATTTGTTTAATCATTTTAAGGAAACCAACACAGTGAATGTTTTCAATAATCATACAGTTTATTAAATATTAAACATTTAAATTATCATAATATGCAAAATTACTGATTGAATTCTTATGCAAGTATATTTATTATTGTTTATTTTATTTTTTAACTTTAAAAACATTTTTTTTTAATTAAAAAAAAATATTTGGGGTAATGTCAAAGGTTAAATTAGTTGTCTCCATACAAGAAAATTCATGGGGTACAGTGACCAAACAGTTCCACTGTAGGTTGAAATTTATAAAATCTTTCCCTTTAAGAAAATAGACTTCTCAAGTTCACTATTATTACTCTTTCTAGTAATAATGGGAGTTTCCTTTCTAACTTTTTATTTGAAGTAGTGTGGAATGTCAACATCTTGATTATATCATTATTTTCTCTTCTCAAGCCCAGTAGCTGTTATCACTCTTATCAGTATTGATGGAGGTTTCCTTCCTGTTATGATGTTGATTTGGGGTTAGTAGAGACAAACGCCAAATAACACGTAACAATAAAAAGGGTTTTAATAGGTTGGTAAAGAAGTACAGAAATCGCCTGAGTAGTCAATAACTAGCTCAGCTAAGAACTTCTCTGTCTTCTTCATGTCAACTGACATGCCACTATTTAAAGTCTTTGTTCACAGACGCAGACAAGTTCATCTTCAAGAGGGGTGGTAGATTTCCAACACAACACTTCCTAACCTTTTATTTAAAGTAGTGTGGAACTTGATTATGTTATTATTTTCTCTTTGAGTTACATGTGCTATCCATTTCAGTTGTTGCTACTGTTGGGAGTCGTCAAATGATGTGGTTTTTGTTATTTAGTAAAGATCTTTTTCTGATTCTGTAGTGCCATTCTACAAGATCTGACAAAGTTTTGTCTTCTTTAAGACCAAGACGATTTATTTACTTAATCATTTTTAATCATTGATCTGAAAAAAAACGTTTGGAGAGCAGATACTTTAGACATTTCTTAATTTCATTTCTCCATATGAAAGCCTCGTTCTGACAGGTGATTTAAGAACATGACTTGTGTTCTTAAGTTAATATTTTCATTTTGTAGTCATTTGCAAACTTGGACAAAACTACCTCCAGCACAGCCTATCATATACAATCTTTTAATCATCTGAAAGAACCCTTTCTGCATTCCACCATCATGGCTGATACTAACCCTCCAGCAGACTGACTCCTTGCACCTTTTGGGGCTAACATTTTCCACTGACAGTTCTTCACTTTCCACTTTCTCACTGGAAAGATTATACTGACTCAATTGCTATGTCTGCAGCTAAGAAAGTTGGTTCACTGTGTCATGCTAAACAATTTTTTTTCTCCAGAATCTGTTACACATTTATAAGTCTACCATTCATTTATGCATTGAATATTGCTGCCACGTCTGGTTTGGTGCTTCTGCTGTATAATTAAAAATTCTTGGTAAAATCCAAAGAATCTGTAATGTTATTGGTCCTAACCTGGCATCTCAGCTTTAGTCACTTTCCCAAAGCTGTAATGTAGCTTTCCTGTGCCTTTTCTATAAATACTTTCATCTATGGTACCTAAACTTTATGAATTTAAGCACAGTAGTAGATTGGTGGCAAGATCTCATCATTTTACAGTTGAAATGGCTAGATGTAACTATAAGTTCTATGTTAACAGTTTCTTCTATTCCACTTGCTTGTGGACCTATTAGGGCCCCATCTATGGGCAAAATAGGGAAACCCCAAACAAAAATAAAGCAATATGAAAGTATAAAGATATATTTTTATAATAAAATTACCAGCAATACATTTTTATATAAAAACAATTACCAACAATACCTATTTATATTAAAATTTACCAACAATACAATTTTATAGCAAAATGACCAACAATACATTTTATCTGTAGTTGAAGCCATAAAATTGGGTTCAAAATATTTAGATTTTGGCATTAAATAACCCATATAGGTGTTGATATGCTGCAAAACAAGATCAACCACTGAAACAACCATCATGAAAGAATTCTTTCATGACATTAATCCATATAATATCCTACAATTTCTTAAATCAAACTGTATTCCAAAATATAACTTCAACAAAACTTCAACATAAAATACACATATCACCACCTCAAGTAATTAAGTCCACACAAAGATGTATATGCACAAATGCTGAGTATCATCTACCATGTATTCAATTGTGAAAGCAGAATAACGTATATCATATTTTTATTACTTCAAAGTTCCCAAGAAAATTAAAATTTGGCATTAAATGACCCATAAGGAATTGATATGCCATTGAACAAACAAAAAAAAAATCTCATTGTAGAAATCTCTTCTGGCCCTTTGCTTTCCAGTCAACTTTGATCTTCAAAAATTTAAATGCAATGTTTATCATTCTCTTCTGTTTTCTTAATTCTTATTCTTTTATTGTCCTCTCTCCTTAATACTAGTTTTTCTCACGTTCTCTAACACTCCGTAACTTCTTGTATCTTAGACTTGCTTGGGGGGAAATGATTTTTAAAAAAATTTACTTACCTCCATTTTAATGAAAGCCTACTAGAAACAAAAAAAAAGTCAAGTTTAATGAAAGCAGATCAAACTCCAGATGAAAAATAGATTTTCATTAAATCTATTCTGGTTTCAGGTTTGTGTAACCTTTAACACCTAATCTCATTTAGACTGTAAATAATATAACATCTGCAGCTACTGACAGACAAAGAAAATATTAATTTGACAATTTTTTTTTTTTTTTTTTTCAAATGATGCTGTTGGCCCAATGGTGTAAATATAAATCTGCCTTACTTGCATGTCAGACATTCTGATTCTTGAAGAACTTCCTTTACCAAACAAAGGACAAAGTGATTGGTTTTATGGCCTTTTGTAAGAATTGACATTTATGCTTAATATATTTAGAAAAAGTCTTCTGAATAGAAAATATACATTTTCCTTTCAGAAACGTTAAACTTTCATAATGTTTAATCTTCATGCCTGCAAAAATAACGAGGTGTCAAAAAGACAGTTATTCCCTTGACACCACTATTACTGAATACATTTTTGACTCCCTCAGCAAAGTTTATTTACAAGATTATAAAAATATGTGAGCCAGGTACAATGTGATATTTATTATTTACCATTTTATAAAGAAATAAATTTGAAAAATCTTTTTATTCAAAAAATTTATAAAACATTACAAAATTATCAAAATATATAAACCAACTACAATGCAATATTATTTACCATTTTATAAATAACTATAGAATAAGAAAATTTGAATAAACGTGATGTGAACATAGATTAAAAGAACATTTGATTCAGAAGAACACAATCAGGATATGACCTGAAGATTGCATTCAAGCATCACTGCTGCCACTCGGTGTTGATCCCAGTGACCACTGTTATATTTACATACACTCTATCCCTGATATTGAACACACTTACTCATAAATATAGGATGGCTTACAAATATATTTTTAAACGTTATTTTTAGGGGATACTCGTATTTGAGTAGGCGGATGGTTTATTTATTTTCCTCTACTGGCCTGATTATTCAAAAAATTTTATTAAAGAAAAATTTGCGCTCTTCAGCAGTATTTGAACCTGCATCCCACAGGAAAAGGAAGAGCTACCTTTTAGCTTAGCATGCTCTAACCAACTTGGCCAAATAGAATGGTCAGTCAGGTGAGCCAATTCCTGTGCCTTTACATGAAATTTCCCTCCTCATTGATCCCTCAAATTTTTTTTTTGTTTTCATATCTGCACATTTCTTTTAATAAGATTCCTTGAAAATTAGATGAAAATAAATATACTATTTAATGAGTGCCTGCTCAAATAAAAGCATCCATTAAAAATAACATTTGAAGTGATAAAAATCGGTCAGATTAATAAAAAAAATCCATTCTAAAATTTTCTTTGTTTACATTGGAATATGAAACTGTGCACATATAGAAAAATATTTCATTAGATCTATGACGAAGGAAATTTCACTTAAAGGTATAAAATTTGGCCCCTCCAGACCTACTGTTCTCTGTGGTTAAGTTTGTTAGTACATGCCAGGCTTAAAGATTTCTCTCCCATGCCCTAGTGGTGCAGGTTCAAATCCTGCCAGAGAGTTCAAATTTTTCTTTAATAAGATTTCCCAAACATTCAGCCTGATAGACAAAAATAAATAGACTACTTACTCATATGAGTATATGCTAAAAATAAAGTTTAAAGTACTAAAAATCTGTCAGATTAACAAAAAAATCCATTCTTATATATATATATATATACAATTATATAATTGGTATATACGGAATGAATTCTAATAACCAACAATTACTATTCTTAAAAGAGTGCTCAATACAAAGTAGAGCAGATATAATTATTTATTTTAAAAAAATTTATATAAATATGTTATAAAATCACTACAAAAGTGATTTTATAACATATTTATGTTATAAATTTTTTTAAAAATATATATAAATACACATATACCTACATTTGGTGTGTGACTTAAGTTTCATTAGTTACCCAACTTGTTCAATTGCCCGACGGGTTGGGCAACCGACAAAACTTAAGTTGCACACCAAACATGGGTATATGTGTATTTATTAACGTATATTTCTCAGTTCTGTCTAATCATATTGAGCACTATTATGTCTACACCTCTTGGCTAAATTTGGTAATTATTTATTTGCTTGCCAATGTATGTAAGCCAGCACATGTATATATGTTCGCTAATATCTAGTTATTTCATTTACCTAATATATATATATATATATATATATATATATATATATATATATATATATGAAATAACAAAGAGTAGGGAGGACTATAGGGCTTAATATTTAAATTGTTCAAAATGTTTTAAGAGTGGAAATGCATGGTATTCATTAAGAGCTAAAGTTTTTTTTATAAAAAATGCTGAGGAATGTAAGAATATTTTGTTTTCCTGTACAATCACTGAAGTTAAGCAACATTGAGCCTGGTCAGTACTTAGGTGGGTCACCACTTGGAAATACCAGGTGCTGCAAAGATGTGTGGGTGGTGAAATCGATAATGGCTCGGAATTGTTAATGGAGAGAAAAGTTCCAGTTACGTTTGCTATATTCACTTACATGCAAATACCCTTGGGAAAAGTATGAATCCCCCCCCCCTCAGCCATGGGTTATTTAATAACATTTGTATCACTAAAATCATTAACTAAAAAATAAAATAAAATTGTGTACAAAAAATTTAGCTTTCAGCCTTAAATAACCTTGTGAAGTTGACAGGCTGCTAAAGAAAAACAACCAAAGTGGTGAAAATAAGATTTATTTTATTAGATTTGACAGCTTTTGAGTTTCAAACTATCAATGGCTTGTCAATATTTCCAAAATCATTAAAAAAAAATCTTACAAATACATATTTTACTGGGGTATTCATTTGACAAGGTGAAAAAATCTCCTAAGTAACAGGTTTTGTCAGTAGGAGGTGCTTTTTTTCAGACTGTCATGGTTTTCTTGTTTTTGTTTTTTTTTTTTTTGATGAAGCCATACTTATGTAGGGTCGAGGGAATCTAACAAATGCTGGTCATGTTTATACATCAAAAACACAAGAGTTATAAGGATGCTTATTTTAAATTTAAAAAATTTTGACATTTGATTTATCCAGGTGCATAACTTCATCCAGCCTTCTATCACTATTGTTTTTGAATATCCTGCATTGGATTGCACCAGTTAAGCAACATCGAGCCTTATCAGTACCTAGATGGGTGACCACTTGAGAATACTTGAGCTTGGATGTGCAGGTTGTGTAAGAGATAATGGCTCAGAACTGTTACATTATTTACATTATTCGGACTATTGTCCTTATCTTTGTCGCCATATTTATCACAACATTTCAGCCATTGTACACTCCGGCCTTCTTTAGGTGGTTGGAATTTCGAACTGAACCCTTTATTTCACTCACTGGGGTAGACTGTTCTAGTTCCACGTGCCATGTTTTAATGGATGTCAGTTATCAGTTATCTCCTGTTAATTTTCCCTCTAAAATTTCTCCACTGCCTTAACTGGGTATTGAACTTTGGGTCCTGTCACTAGGTCTAACCAACTCTTTTATCCACTGTGCCATGTGTCCTTGAGGGCACATGGCACAGTGGATCTCTTCTTTCAGTAAACATAGATAAATTTTTGCAGGGATATCCAAAGTTTCCTGGAGAGAAAATTATTTAAAATGAAACAAAACATGAACAATGTTTTTTTGTTTTTTTTTAAATATATTTCTTACTTTTAATCCAACACTTTAGAAATTGTTTGTGTTTTGGATTTAAAACTGAGTAAATGTGGGCTTTCGAGAAAAATAATAATCTGGGCGAAGAGGAGGTGCTTTCCTTAAAAAGGGAAAATAGAGTTATGGTGTTCTTTGTGGCCTAGTGGTAAAACACACTAGATCAAATGATGGTTTACCTTACACAGGGAGTTGCAGGTTCAATCCCTGCTGCCGAACTCATTTTCTTTACTTGGATTCCTTGAATGCACAAACCAATAGATGTAATACCCACTGTTTAATAAATAAAAATGGGGCATCTATTTTGAATACAAAGTGTCCACTATACACTCGGTCAGCTTTTCATCAACTAGACAGCTCCCCCCCCCCCCAATGTTTTTGATCCCAATTTGTATCAGAGGGAACTGGAAAAAGCCCAGTGTACATTCACCAGAAGGAGAAATATCATCATGACAGGAAAAGAAAACATGAATCCTGTTTGAAATATACTGAGTTCTACATTTATAAATTCAGGTGTGCAGATGGGACAATGGATAGCAGCTCCAAATGAGAAATTGGAGGGCCAAGTTCAAATTCCTGTCTGCTTTGTTAATTTCACTTACATGCAAATACCAATGGGAAATGTATGAATCCATCTCTTGCCCCAGCTAGGGGTTAAATAGTAAGAGTTCTATCTGGAGTAACCATTGTTATTCCCTCAAAAAATTGTTAATGCAATGTTGACTAACAAAAAAAAAATTATAATGTTTCAGCTTTAAATAACTCACAAAGGGTTGATAAGCTGTAAAAAAAAAAAAAAAAATGAATAAATCAATTATTCATAGGTTCACCCAGCACTGTCTGGGGGTAGGTAAATGACACTTGGGGACAACTTCACTGTTCTGCCATCTCTCAGAACAGATCTTTCCTTTGGCCAGCAAGAAGTTCTATCTCTGACTGCAACTATTTCTACATCTTGATGTAGAAACAGTTGGAGTCAAAGATAGAAGTCATGACGATATTTCTCCTTATTCTAAATGCAACCTGAGTATATAGGACCATGAACAGAATTCCCTACCTTCCAGCTAAGTGGCACTTGATCTTGAAATTTTATTTATTTCCTTTGTTCCCCACTCATGGATGGTTTCTTTGAAGCTCTCCTCTCTTGATTTTATTGTTGGTTGTAATAAAATCGTTGACTACATGGTTGTCCTAAGTCGGTCAAGCAGGGACCCATTTGTGTCGCACATTAATTTCCTGAAATATAGGCATTACGTTTATTTTTGGTCTAAGCAATGTTGAGCCTGGTCAGTACATAGATGAGGGACTTCTTGGGAATGCCAGGCACTGTAAGTTTGGATTTGTGGGTGATATAATGGATAATAGTTCAGGATTGTTAATCAGAGAGCCAACTTCCAATTCCCATTGGGTTCGTTATTCACATGTTTGGGAAATCTAGCTCTTCTTCCTCCATTTATGGGTTAATTAGTATTTTGTATCACTGAATCATTATCTCCAAAGAAAGTGAAGAAAAAATTCTTACAACCTAAAAATATTTTCTGGCTTTAAATAACCTGCAAATGTTTGATAAACTTTAGAATATGGAATACTGATTAGTTGCACAGGCATGTCTTTTAGATTTTACATTCTCTGGAATTTAAATGCATAAAAACTACCATGGTTACAAAGTGAGGGATCAGCTTATATATTGGTTGTAATATGGGATTGATCCCCCACTTTATGTCCACATGATAACTTTTTGTTTGTTTGTTTAACATTCTGCTTAGGTATGATTTCATCTCTCCCCCGCCAGGTTAATTAAAAGACTTGTATCATTATCTTTAAAAAAAAAAAATTCTTAAAATGTAAAAAAGTTGATAAGCAGTAGAAAACAATTTAATCAATTTAATTTCTAATATAAAGAAAACTACAGCCAATAATTTAATTCTGATTATTCTTATGAAATTATTATGAAATAAAGTTTAAAACTTCTTAATTGTGAAATTAAAAAAAAAACTAAAGAAATGAACATCTCTGAATATAAAACCCAGATTTATATCTTTGTATAAATTTCACATTTCCTCTGTACTCCTTTAGGTACGCACACTTGTCTGTATCTTTTGGTGGGTTTTTCTTTTCTTTTTTTTTTTTTTTTTTTTTTTTTTTTTTTTTTAGATAGGTGCCTAATTTTCTTTTCTTTCTTTTTTTTTTTTTATTAATGAATTATTTTGCTCTTTGTCAGTTGTTACTTTTGAAACCTCTGTTTGCTCTTACTCCCCATCCTCTTGCTGGAGGTGCTCTCCTGACTGAGGTAAGTGCCAGCACACTGCACAGTAAGAAATCGTTTTCCATCTCCTTCACTGGCTCGAGAATACTGTTCTGGGTTTTTTTTGCAATGAATAAGGACTTGTTTTACACTCACGTACACACATATTTCTTATTAAATGTTATTTTTAGTGGGTTCTTATAGATATTATTTTTAGCATTTGAGTTATCTTTTTTTTTTTTTTTTTTTTTTTTTTTTTAAACAGAACAAAAAAAAAACACAAGGATAACCACTAAAAATAAACTTTTATAACAATAAAAAAAATAATTTGGTTAAAAAATTCATTTAGCACATATAAAGTCTATGTGGGGTACTTTACTAATGCTATAAAAACAAGCATATTAAAATGATATATAACTATATACAGCAACAAAGGGGGAAAAGAAACAAAAGACAGTAACAAACAGGGGGGAGGAAGAAAAGCAAGGACAGTAAAGCCACTTTAAAGAAAGGAATCAAAACAATAAGAAAATAAAAAAAAAAAAAAAGAAAAAGCTAACTGGTGTTCAATCCTCACTCTTCACAACAAATCAAAGACAAATATGTACACTGTGTGCCTAACATTTAAAAAGACCAATAAATTAAACAGCCATTATCAGCAAAGTGCATTCTGATTACCATTTGAAAATATTACAGGCATTATATCTTGTATCCAGGTAGTCTTCCTTTCTGATAGCTGCTGGGTCTTAATGTAATCACACAATATTTTTTTTTTTTTTTTTTTTTTTTTTTTTACCCTCTGCTGATTCCTGATAGTTCTTTCTTTATTTTTTTTATATGTTATGCACACAATTTGTTACAAGCATTATATATTATGTCTAAATAGTCTTTCCTCTGTGAGCAGAAAGGATGGCTGCTGGGTCTTAATATAATCGGACTAAGATTTTTGTTTTTTCCATCTCTGCTGATCCATTGGTAGTTCCTATTTTATTTTATATGTTATGCCCACTATTTACATGTTTGTCTTTGATTGGCTTCAAAGATTGAGGCTTGAAAACCATTTAAACTCTTCTTTTTTTTTTTCTTGTTTTGTGTTCTTTTTGTTTCAATTAAACTCTTTACAGTGATTTATTTTATTATCCTTGCTCTTCTTTCAACTTTTTTTTTTCATATTTATTGCTATTGTTATATACAATTTTAATATGTCTGATTTTATAGCACATATATATATATATATATATATATATATATATATATATATATATATAATGAAATGGATTAAGTCTGACAATTATTTTAATATATTTTCTGTGTATACATTATTTTTTATAGATACAAATATTTAAGTAAACAGTGCATTTACTTAAATATTTGTATCTATAAAAATAATGTATAAACAGAATGAATAAATAAATATATATATATATATATATATATATATATATATATATATATATATATATATATATATATATATATATATAATATATTTTGAAAGTAATGCCTCCTATTTATTTCCAT